ATAGATTTGTCTTATTAACTCCATCTTTTTCGCTCTTTCTTTTTCTCCTTCATCTTGGAATTTGGAAGTGGACGGCAAGATTTTCTGCTTGTCCTTGTCCTCAATAAGAAGCGGCTCTAGAGCCTCTCCAAATAGAGACCCCCTTTATAAGGGGCAGAGGCTAGCCACCACTTATGTCTCATATACGCCTGCCACTGGCGGAGCCAAAGCAGATGGCGGGAGTCAACCAAGGCGGCCATCGCCCTTGAGGCAAAGTGAGTGGAATTAAGTGTGGCGTCAGCCATAAATTGGACGGCAGCCACTATTTTATTGCGGTTTTGATGGGCCCTCAGGTCGGTTGCAGTCAGACGTTGTTGAAACTGCTGTAGCCAAAACAGGCAGGAACGAGAGAAGAACGATGTGGACGTGGAAGCTCAGACCGCCCAAGCCGCCACTTGATGCACACGTTACATCATGAAGTGGGCCTGCTGTGAAGGTAGCAGATGCTTTGGCCTTGGTCAGCAAGGTCTTGAAGTGGGCAGATTGGAACAAACCTGAAAATGGTGGGGTTTTTTGGTGCTGCCTCCTCATTCCCAGAAAACTCTGCATCCTTAATCTCCCGTCTTCATAGACGGGATTGCTATGTGGGATCTAGCCAATGACCAGGGGCTCTGCACTGGTGGAGCTGGCAGTGATGTAGAATGGGTCACAGGAGGCACTGGAGCAGCATTAGTCACAGAAGCCGCTGATTAGCAGTCCCAGTCTTCTGCAGGAGACCTGCAGCTATGCCTTGGGCAATGGCTGAAGCTATGGCTTCTTGTATGTCAGGCACGGTCAGGGAAGAACCGGGTAGTTCTGGGCGGAGGCCCGCAGCTGTCAGAGTGAACGTAACCTCTGCACGCCTAGTGCCCCCTGTCCCAAACTGGGCATTTTGCTAAAGATGTCCCTGTAGATCAGAGCCAGAGCAATAAATACCCAGAGGTATTTATTGGGAACAGGGGCTGAAAGGACCAGGGGCCTGTTCCAATGTAACTGGAGAAGGCTGGACAGAAATATTGCTGCTAGATTGAAACACAGTATTCCCCTTTGAGGAAGATGAGGAATGCCTTTGAGATGAAGCCTTGGAACTTTTGTCCTCAGGAATTAGACCATCTCCCTTGTCAGGTGGGACTGACTTGGAGGACTTATTCCTTTTGGCATGGGTAATGTTGAAGTGGACAGGTTGTCCCTTAGGATTTGCTGCAGCCTGGGAAGTGGAAGCCTCCACCATGATTAGAAGCCCTTGGGCCCCGGTTCCCTCAGCATTTGGAACAGCAATTGCAGCATCCACCATTTTGAAAGAGAATTAGCAACCAAAATGGCAGTTAGCGCCCTTTTTAACATTCTCTAACTGTCCTGCTACAAGCTATAGTCTCTGGGCAGAACGCTGCAGGAAGAAAGCCCTGGACCGATTCAGGGTCTCACCTCATGCAGGCCGATCGGGAAGTTCCAGTGAGGCCGCTGCGAGGGGAGCAGCTCCTTGCGATTTCAAATGCTCCAAGGCCTCCGGAGCTGTCAAAACATGTTTTTGAAGGGATCCGCAATAGCACTGCGAACTTTCCTTGACGTCTGAGATAAGCAGGGATTCGAGGTACAATTAGTGACCTTTCAAGAGCGCTACGCTTTCTCCCGCTTAGTCAGGGGCCTGGGAGGCAGGTGGCCCACAGGGCGAGCTATGGACCTAAGCCCTCACGCTCCAGCCCAAGTTGACAGCTCAAAATACTATTCCAGTCCCACTCAAAGTATAAGGAAAAAAGTCAATAGCAATTAATTCTTCAACCAATCATTAAATCAGCAATGTGCTCAGGAAATACATGATGATACGACCGTCCATGAAGTGGACTGAGTCGAAAAGCTGGGTAAGGCTAGCAACAAGGGGCGTGTCTTAACTAACTTTTATCAGACTCAGTCCAATCAGAAGGCGGAAAATGTCAGCCCATGTATAGATGCTATCTTCACCTCTATTGAGAATAAGCGTGTTTCTTTCACCTTGAGAGAAAATTACAGACATTATTTTGTTAACCTATCCTTATTAACTTACACATTTGGAGGGATATTTGTATTTGGGGCGACAGCTATTTAAGATGAGCCACAGTCCAAATGATTTCATTCTTAGGAAACATTTGAGAATTATTAATAAAAAAACTTATCAATCTTACCTTGAGTATAAGCATAGTCATCTGATCCAGAGCTGGAACTTCTCTGGTATTTATGTCTTCCTCTTTCACCTCCAGATCCTGGTACAACTGAAATGGGTTGAATAGGTTCTGGTGCTGCAGAATGTTCTTCTTGGTCCACTAAATTTAGAAGATTCTCAGCAGGAACTCGACCTACTGTGATTTTAAAAACTGCTGGATTTGGCTGAGATACCATTACACGAGGGGACTGTGTAAGAACACCTGAAGGTCTAACTGGTTGTGTATATGTTATATATACAGGATTAACACTATAAGGAGGTTTAGGTTGACCTGCTATACTTTTGGAAGGGGAACTTGAAGGAGTTGCAGGTGTATATAGTGGGTGCTGATTCCGTTGGGATGGCTGATTACTTATAGGTGAAGGGCTCCTATTAAGTGTAGTCCCAGGTCTTTGTGGTGGTTCAACAGTAATTTCTATCTTGTTCATGGAGCCTTTAGATAAAGTAGATCCACCATATGGGAGATAAGATACTGAGTGTCCACTTGGTTTTTGATATGTCTGTGGTGTTTGTTGATATGGATGGGGTAACACAGTTGAAGGACTAGGAGGCATAAATACATGGGAACTTTGATGTCCTAATTGGCTGGGCTGAACTTGATGCTGAGGTGATCCAAAAGGAGAAGGACACTGGGAAGCAGGTGGTGATTGAAAAGGAGACTGAGGAATTTGAGGCTGCTTGGGAGAATACTGAGAAGGTTGATAGCTCTGTTGGTGTGGATAGACAGGTAATGGATGTGGATTATAATGTGGACTTGGACCTGGTGGTGACGAATGCCACTGTGTACTTTGAGTAGGAGTCTGTCGTCCTGAAGTTGTCTGCCTAATATAGAGTGATCCAGGACTTCCATAGGGAGTACTTTGAATTTGAGGAAGAATTTGTAAAGCTCTGGGTAAAGGCTGCCCAGAAGGGAGATTTTGTGAAACTGTAACAGTTATGGGATTTGTGCTGTACCGAGGTATATGCATATATGGAGGAGGAGGGCTTTGCATAGTAGATGTATTCATTCCAGGCTGCATAGGAGAAGACTGCTGAGGTGTCTGTGGAGGAGGAGTAGCTGCATTTCTATTCTGATCATTCATAAAAAAAGGATTATAGTTTGGAGAAGCTGCTACAACAGCAGGAGCAGAATGTGGTTCTTGAACTAAACAGATCAGCTGCTTTCCTGGGGTGCACTGTGGATCAATATGTCCATCACTTGAACTATGTACCAGTGTACGACCACCATTAAGTTGAGGTCCATCCCCTCCATAGTTAGTATGAGGATGGATGCCAAGGTTAATATGCAGAAGACGATTCCTGTTTACTCGGGTGTCATCTGGGCTGTGATACTCCATATATAGGTATTTGTTGCTCTCTTGTGCAAGAATTCGACAACAAGCATCAAGATTGTTGTTATTCTAGAAGAAATAACATTCTATGGAGCAAGTTTTAGAAACTATAGTATAACAATCTGTTTTACTCTTCAGTATTATATTTGCTAAGATTGTTACGTTAGGTTATAACTTAAACTTATAATTTTAACTAACTTAAATTTGCTTATGAAGAGTCATATATGTATAAACAAATCTTTCAAGATGTAAGAAACCCTCCACAAAGATTACAAGCATTATCTGTCAATCACCATCTAGATCAGGGGTGTCAATCTCAATTTCATTGAGGACTGCATCAGCATTATGGTTGCCCTCAAAGGGCCAATTGTAAAACTATGATGACTCACAGCGGCCAGGTGGGCGTGGCTAGGTGGGCATGGCCGGCTCAATGCCACTCACTGGGTGCAGTTGATTCAGGACAGCTAGGTTGGGATGGAACAAGTTGCACTGGCTAACTCAACATGGGGACAATTTGGTGCCCCATAAGCTCCTCGCCTCCTCAAACAGCTGACAGCCAAGCACATGCACACACACACACACGGACACAAAAAAACAAACTGTATTCTAAGTTTGGGAACTTTTATCCAGAGAGGAAGGAGATGGCCTTCTCCCCAAGCACAGGCATGCTCAGATGTGGATAAAAGTCTTATAGCTTGGAATGCTCTGTGTGTGCGCACATGCGTGTATGCACAGCACACCAAAGGAGACATTCTTCTCCCAATCCCAGACATCGTTGATGTTTCCTTGTCTGGTGCCCCCATGCAGCAAAGCAGAGGACAACACTGCTACGTGTGGAAGCATGGAGGAGAAAGTTTGCAGGAAGCAGTTTCCTCCGAGTCCAACTTCTGCCTTGACAGATCTCTGGAGAGCAAGAGGAAGAGGCAAGAGAGCAGGGCTCTCTGGTCCTACACAAGAGAGGCTGACCCTTCTCAAAAGGGAATCCCCATTTCCAATCATACGTGGTAAGGATGCTAGTTTATTGGGGCAGACTCCCCTCGCACAGCTCCCTCACCTCTCTTTCCTCTTCGCCACAGATTTGTTAAGTCAGGAGTTAGACTTGAAGGAAACAGCTTCCTGGAAACTTTCTTCTCTGCACTTCCACATGCAGCAGCACTGCCCTCCACCTCCTGTGGGGGGCCATGCATGCATGGGGGGGGGGGGCTCAGAGGTCTTCAGGGGACAAAGGTGAGAGCAAGGCGAGCCCCAAAGCTTTGTCCACCAGAGGAGCCTCGCCATCCGTCTCTGGCCCATGGGCTTTGAGTTTCACATGTCTGGTCTAGACAAACTTTCTTACAGCTTGGAAATATGTGCAGTCACAAAATATCTCATTAATTCTTCCTAAAGATTTGTAAAAACAGGTGTTCAAATCTTGTTAGTTAAAAAGGTTTCCCCAAACCAGAATATTTAATTTGTGTTATTCAATGAATGGACCAGAATATTTAACTACTCCTTCTATTGCAGCTTGAGATAAGTATTAAAACAGATATGGGAGATACATGTAGAAACTGAAATACCTATTTTTTAAGGCTCAAGTTTTCTACAGAATAATTCTTTTTTTCCCACAAGGAATTTTGTATTCTGCGTACAATATTCTGTGACATCAATATAAATGAAACTAATAATGGAAGAAAATAAATTGTATAGGAAGAAAATATAGGATGGGAAGTATTTTCAACAACAAAAGCTGAACGTATCAAGGTGCTTCTACCAATCTTGAAGATTTAGAATTTAAGAATGAATTTATCCCCCACTGATTTTAGTAGGATATAAATTTCTAGCTATGTCCATGCTTTTTATTTATACTTTTATTTTTAATTAAATGGAGCCTAATAGAATTATTTCATAAAAGAAAAAAGAAAGGAAAGGCGAAGGAAGCAAACTGTTTCCTAAAAGTACAAGAAGATAAATGAAAATTGACTAAAATAACCAACATTTACAATTTTTATTCTCATCTCATATAATGCAATGTCTCAGTTTTTTCCATACTCTTTTTTTTGTTTCTGAAAAGTTATCCTGGCATCTTGCTTGGTTACCCTTACCTACTACTTCAAAGAGAAACTACTGTTGGGGCAACCAACACCTACCTGGCGCATGCATTGAGACACCACACTTTCAGGAATCTCAGGAAAACGTTGCCGGAGGTCAAGGAGTACCTGCATATCTAACTTCTGGTTTCCCTGTGCCATGCCAGATTGATGTTTAAGTTTCAGGACTTTCAGGAAATAGCAGTCAACAAACTTTCCAGCAATTAGGATCTTTGGATGCTTCACACATTTTCTACAAAAAGATAATAAAATGAGAAAATTAACATAATAAATAAAAATGATACCGAACAGCATACTAAAACTTTAATATGAGCATTTCAACCTAGGTTACAAAATTTTATCCACCTTTAATGCCACAATGAATCCTCACAAATAAAACATATCTAAAGTGGGTATTTACAATTCTCACAGCAAAATTACATCTAAAGTTTTTTTCCCCTTTTCGTCTCAAAAACGGGCTGACTCTCCCTTTCTATGACACTTAATTCAGGATAGAGTCGGGACATCTAGATGGACACTAGCTTCTCATATTATACATCTTTTAGCATGAACATTTGAACCAGACTTCTCTTTACGAAGTCCATGATCCAAAATTAACAAGGATAAAAGGGTTGGTTTTTTTAAGATGCCAATAACATTGGTGTAACATTAGGAAATCTGTTCTCTAGATCGTGGTCACTAAAACCTGAAGCCTAACACTGTCCACAACTATGTAATAGTTTGTCGATTCTTTCCAGACCATTATCCATGTCTTATATCAATGTGCAATTTTTTGATTATCAAAAAGATAAACATCAATAGGTAATTATTGAATTCATCAATGTTCAAATGTGGAATTTTATGACATTACAATTATCTTATAGGAAAACTATTGCAAGTATATATCTGGTTTTCAAGTCCAGTATTATAAAATTATGTTCAATTGATTAAGAAGAAAATCGAAGAAAGCAGGATGCTGCAAGAAGAAAGATAGAAAGTTAGCAGCACAATAGCTGGCACAAGAGATCATCACCAGTTTGTGCCAGTTGATTCAAATTTGATTTGTCAACAAAGTTTCAAATGACACGATTAATTTTGTGGCCAAAATGTCCAATACCGTTGATCTGAATTTAAAATTGGTTGACATATTTCCCGGTTATGGTGCCTGCATTTATAACAAAAAATGGTGGGTAGGCAACATCGTGGAAATTTTGATTGAACAAAATGATTCGTTGGTAACATGCTTTGTTGGGTTCCAGAACTACAACTTATTTGCGTGCTTCCAGCGCTTTTAGATACATTGTCAGGTCAACAGTATCAATTCCCAGAAATAATAGAATGCATGTGACTTTGCCATAGCAACATCCTCAACTTTCTCCCTGTTTTGGGGGATTTATAAGTCACCAATGAAAAACCAACTTTACTTTTTTAGAGGGTTTGTAATATGCCCTTTCTAATAAGAATGATTTAACAGAATTTCCAGAAGGTGTAAAAGTGAAAATATGCTATTTTTGGTGTTTTTACAAAAAATGTCAATTTTACCCAAAATTTGTAAACTCTTTGAAAACAATAGAAGAATGAAATTTTATATTAGAAAACTTTGTGTTGCCAAGTTATTACGCACAAAGTTTCATGTTTATCATACCTTTCCATCCAGAGATATAAAAAGCCAAACTTTAACTTGTTTTCCGAGCCACAATATTTTCGGCCAACTTTGTTCCAAATTATCTAGATGGAGATCGCTCATGAGAATGTTTTTATTAGTTTGTTTAAGAGCACAAAAAGTTGTACAAGATGGCCAAGTTTTGTTTCTCTCAACAAAATATTGCCGGAGATATTATGTCTCAAAGTTGCTGGAACCTCAGAATCATACTGTAGAAGGCTGCGGTATGGGATCAAACAAATGACTATATCTCCGCAAGTATTGCATCGGCACACGTAACACTTTACCAATGTTCATTGGGGACATACAGTGGGGCAAAAAAGTATTTAGTCAGCCACCAATTGTGCAAGTTCTACCACTTAAAAAGATGAGAGAGGCCTGTAATTGACATCATAGGTAGATCTCAACTATGAGAGACAAAATGAAAAAACAAATCCAGACAATCACATTGTCTGATTTGGAAAGAATCTTTTTACAAATTATGGTGGAAAATAAGTATTTGGTCACCTACAAACAAGCAAGATTTCTGGCTCTCACAGACCTGTAACGTCTTCTTTAAGAGGCTCCTCTGTCCTCCACTCATTACCTGTATTGATGGCACCTGTTTGAACTTGTTAGCAGTATAAAAGACACCTGTCCACAACCTCAAACAGTCATACTCCAAACTCCGCTATGGTGAAGACCAAAGAGCTGTCGAAGGACACCAGAAACAAAATTGTAGACCTGCACCAGGCTGCAAAGACTGAATCTGCAATAGGCAAGCAGCTTGGTGTGAAGAAATCAACTGTGGGAGCAATAATGGAAGACATACAAGACCACTGATAATCTCCCTTGATCTGGGGCTCCATGCAAGATCTCACCCCGTGGGGTCAAAATGATCACAAGAACGGTGAGCAAAAATCCCAGAACCACATGGGGGGGCCTAGTGAATGACCTGCAGAGACCTGGGACCACGTAACAAAGGCTACCATCAGTAACACATTACACCGCCAGGGACTCAGATCCTGCAGTGACAAACATCTCCCCCTGCTTAAGCCAGTACATGTCTGGGCCCGTCTGAAGTTTGCTAGAGAGCCTGTATACTAATGCCAATGTTGAGTTTAATTATAAAACCTAGCACTATAGTCTCAATCAACAAAGAGCTCCAAGTTATTACAGAAGCACTTTGAGTTTATAGCAGTCACTCCGTTTGTCCCAGCATCTGAATACTTGAGGTATACTCTATCTGAACATAAGGGGTCCGTGACTTGATATTAATAGTCATTGATAAATCTATTGAGTTTACATAATAACCATATGGTATTTACTGAAAGTTCTTTTTAAAAACTGCCTATTGTTCCATGTCATTACATCTGCTGAAGGAATAACATTATTGTCAATGAATAGATTTCCACTATAAAATACAGTTATAATTCCTGCTAATGTTGGCTAAATGCAGTTTTCTTGGCAATATTTTGGAAATGGTTCACGGTTGTTTTATTGGAGCTGAAAAAGGGTAACTGTCCCCAAGTTACCAAGCTTCATGCCTAAAGCAACTCATATTTCCCTGGTTTTAAAACCAGATATCTTAACTGATACACTAACTAATTCTCAAATGTAAAATGTGCACATTTTAATCTTATGATAATAAGCAAATAAGCAAACACAGGATGTTATATAAAATATAGTCTTGTTATATAAAATACTGTCTTGTTTTATAAAATACTATTTAAGGAAAGAAGAAAAAATAAGTATTTTTCAAGACAAGAACTAGTCAATTAAGAAAACACTGAAAATACTGCTTGTTTTCCAATTTAAACATTTTACGTAAAAAGCAGTGCATTACTGCAGTAACAAATTAGCATTACATGTTTAATTTCTACTTTCACCATATATAAAGAACATAAAAATGTAGGGGGTAGATAAAGTTTACATATCTATATATTGCAAAGCTTAAGATGAAAAATGACCCACAAAACTATACAGACTGCCCTCTATGATGGAACAGATTCTCTATACACTCAGTTCCTCATGCAATAAGGTTACTCTGCTGTTTTAATTATGAGATAACAGAATACATAATTAGGAATAGGATCCAGAATACCACAAATATAAAGGCATTACAAAAAGCATTGTTTAGTTTTCAGTCTAATCTACTCTGAATTGGCTTGCTCTAGCAAACAATAAAGGAATAATCAAAATTATTTAGAATTCAGCAAAAATCTATACAGCAAACCTTTCTTTCACTTGAGATCTCTATTTCCAAAGCTGCCAAATCATACTGCAGTGACTATGCTGAGAGCATATTCCAAAGGAAGCAGCAACAATTAAACTTTCAAATACAACAGTTTCAAGGCTTTAGTAGTGGCATTATCACATCTCTATTTTACAAATGCATGAATAGGTGTGCCCTATTCTAAGCAACCCAATCACAAACTCCAAAATAGACCAAAAGTTTGGAAATGTGTACAGATATAGAAAGAAGTTTTGCCTTTCTATCCAACTGAAATACTGTAATGGGTTGAGAACTAGATTCCAAAAGATCCAATCCAAGAAAATCATCTAAAGTGAGGGTAGAAAGCAGGTTAAATCATATGACTCTTAATTATAGGCCTCAAGGAGTAATTATCTATCAATCATCTGGCTTGGTTAAAGGTGATCCTTCTTATACAACCAGTGCCTCTCTAGAAATACCAGCATTGGAATCATTTGTAAAACTAGTAGATGAAATTGATCGTTTCATTTCGTTTATTCTATTTGCTTCCAAGCCTCCTGCTACCTTTAATATCCTCTCCGTGAAAGATTTTAATGCAGGGTAGTTACTTTTGGGCTACAGCTGCCTTTTCTTGCGCCTACGCTTTTGTGCATAGGGGTGTGCAACTTCCCCCTTTATAATATAACCCCGCCCTCACTCTTACCCCAACGACCCCACCCCAAGCCCAAGCACTTTGCTGCTTTGACCTCTTCTGGACACTTCCCACTTAATAGACGCCAAGCAAGCCAGTCCCACCCCACCCACTTCTTCCTTCGCCTCCGCTTGTCAGCTTTACCCGCTCGTTACGTGCGCGCGCGCGCCGCACAAGCAGAGAGACCTACGCCGAGGTCTCCCCGGGCCTTTCGCTCTCTCACCGCTCGCGGGGGCCCCGCTTCCAGCACAAACATCTCACGATTCCCACCTAATCGGCCCCCTTGCGCGGGGGCAGCTGAGGCGGCCAAGCCCCCTGGCTTCGCTTGGGTGGGACGGCCCCCCCCTTTCCCGTCTGCGTGCGGCGAGGGGGCGTCTCCGGGGGGTAACGGCGGGGGCGGAGGGAAGGGGTGGGCCAGAGCGCTGGGCACGGTCGGGAAGCGTTTCTGGGATCCAGTTTTGCCCCGCCCAGCCCGGTCCGCGCGAGGCAGAGGAATCAGAAGGAGGAGCCTAGCCGAATTTCTCGGCCTCCTTTTCAGAGACTTAAAATAAAATCTTCAAGAACTCCCCGCAGCCGTCATTTCTGACACCGTAGTCAGCGGTTGCCGGTATGTGGGGAAGGAGTGGTGGAACTCAGCGATGCTAGACGAAGGGTTGTGTTCAGGCTTTGTCCCTGCTTGTAATTAACGGTGGTCGAGAAAAGAAGCCAGTCTTCTACCAAAATTCTGTTTCCTTTCTGGCAAAACCTCCTTGTGTATGTGTGTGTTTTAAATAATTGTAAGCGCAATTTGGATAGATAGGCAAGTTAATCTGCAGCATCAAATTGAAACATGTTTTGCAGGTTAAACAAATACAAGATAATTTTTTGGAATTTCTAGACATTTGTATGGAATATCCAGCATTCTGACTGACAAGAAAAATATTTTTAAAAGTATTGCTCATACTTTTAAAAATATAAAATCCTCCCTCATTGCGAAGCAGACATGTATCTTTGTCTAGGTTCCTGTGCATTTAAAAACTACATAGCAAAATTTTCTTTTTCCATACAGCTGTAAGAAGTCACTCCATCTCCCAAAGTACGAATTCTGCAGGGGAAGAAGCAAGCAAAGCAAGTTTTCCTTTTTAATTTTGATGTAGTTTAAACTGCTTTGCTCTAATATTCATGTTTCTTCGTGTATTTAAGAGTTCGTGATCAGCGCTGTAACAAGTATTCTTAAAACAAATTCACTAAGAAACTCGAAAGTCAATGCGACGTAGACTCTTATATTTCTCACAATCGCAATGAAAAAGTATCGCGAGAATGAAATTCGAGGCGGGAGTGACTACAGTTCAAAATAGTTCAGTGAGACTGGTGTGATGGAGGGTGGATGACTGTTTTCAATCCTAATTTTAGTCTGTCTCTTTTTCCGAAACATTCAGTATGGAAGGAAAAAAACGTAGCTTCTGGGGGAATCGTAGTCGCAGTCGCAGTTTCGAATATATAACGAGATCTTTCAGCCTGGCATCTTTAAGATGTGTGAATTTCAATTCTCGGGAATTCTGGGACTTGGAAGTTCACACATTTTAAAGTTACCAAGCTTGAAAAGCGCTGCTGTCAAAGCACACACTGGTCTATGGTACTGATCGAATAGGAACAGTCAGGAAAGGGGAGAAGTTGATAAGTTATCTGAAAGGCTACCACTTCAGGGCAAGAATATAATAGCCACCTGGAATATTGCAGCCTGGATTATTATCAAATTTGTTGTAAATTAATATTTTGTCTTATGCAGTTTATGATGTTTTGTACTGCATTTGATAAGAGGGTTTCTTCTACTTAATGTTCCAAATTGTATCTATAATAATGCTTCTCTTCTCAAGACATGTCTGGTATAAGACAAACTCTTGTACTAGACATTTAGGAGTCATTTGGGTCTAATGAAATTTAATTGATCAGCTGTCTTTGTTGGATTTATTTTTAACATTTTTTCTATATAAAATTAAACATGCATTTATCCAATTGAAGAAAATGTTGCTTACTAGAAGATCCTTTTATATTATAACTTTTTGTATTAGCAAATTCATCTTTTATTTTTAGATAAAATTTGCAAAATATGACAAGCAACAGCGTATTTAATATCCCCTTTGGTTAATCTTGTCAATAATTAGAAACCTAATAAATGAATAAAGTAATTATCTAAAATATATTTAATATCCTCATGGAAAATGTATGAAAAATGTGTTAATATATTTTCTTTACTAACTTGTATTAATCTATTTACTGATTAAAACTATTAATTTGTATCCTACATATTAATTTTTCTACTACTGTCACAGTTCAAATCCTGTATCCAATCTGTCATGGGTCATACTTGATCAGTGTTAATTTTGCTGCAAAGATTTAATTAAGCTGATTTTATAACTGTCATATAATGAGATTAAATTCCCGTATTTCCTTCAAATGATGTCACTTTATCACCATGATGGCAAACCTATGGTATGCGTGCCATTGCCAGCTGCTCTTCTGGTTTTGCCCCCCAAAACAGCCATAACCCCCCCCCCCCAAAGGCATGTACACGCTGGCAGGCTGGTCTTCAGGTTTCCAGTGCTCTGGCGCATGTGAAAACCAACTGGCCAGCATGCATGCACATACCAGAAACCCGAGGACCAGATCGAATGCATGCCTGTTTTTTGGTGGTTTATGGCTGTTTGGGGGGCCAAAACCAGAAAAGCAACTGGCATGTGCACTGGCCAGCTGGTCTTTCGGGTTTCCGGCGTTCTGGGGTGCATGCATGCACACATGTTCCAGTTTGGGCATTTGGTGCCTAAAAGGTTCATTATCACTGCTTTATCACATCAGCTATGCACCTATGTTTCAACATTGCTAATCTAAGGGTACTTTTAATCATATATGTTCTATGATGTACTGCATCACCTATGAAATGTTTTAGAGAAAATGAAAAGACATGAGTCTAAAATCTGGATACCAAGTTAAATAAGAGCTAATTGCATTTTCTGTTACTATTTTCGCCTCAGAACAATCAGTTTCATAAAATATAGAAAATTTATAACCATCCATATAGCTCACTGTTCACAGTTAATAAATTCTGCACATTGTGTTTTAATACAAAATTCTTTTCTTAAATCAAAATCTCCAATTGTGCCAATTATCTTATTCAGAAATATTTTGCTCATACGAAAGCAATACATGTTCTGCAATTGTGGAAGTTGAAAATATTCTCCCTAAATCCAGGACACTGATTAGCAAAAATCTTGATTAATGAAATTCCTGTTCCTGTTAGTTTAAGCATATGGAATTTTCACCATTATGGTGTTCAGGAAATTACTAAAAGCTGATCTCCCAGAGTTCTCATGAAGCCTCCTTTAGTTAGGTTTGGTTTATAGCAGGTTGTATTATTCTTCCAATCAGTCATTATTTTCTTTTTATATGTGATCTGTTTTGATCTGAAACTACTCACACTTTTGAGTAAAGTGGCCTCAAAACTAGATAAATCAATAAACAAAAAAAAATTTATTAGAAATTTTGGTAAATTCATTAAGGACCAAGGAGAAGAAAATGATGTTTTCTTCAACCAACTTAACGTTGTTCTTTAAAGTAATCCAATCCAAAGTGAGAGCGGGAAGATAGAGCAGCCACTGGTCCATGAGGAGAGAATAATTATTCACAATAATACATGGGCACAGGGATGGGTTGCTGCCGGCATTACTGCCTGTTCTTCATGTGTGTGCGCATTTGCACCTAAAAAGGTCTGTGCATGTGCACAATGTCAGAAAAGAAAAAAAATACATTTTAGCAATAAAGATTCTTCTGCACATGCGCAGAACCGAAATTCAAGATGGCGCCGCCAACAATTGAACCGATTCGGGGGCATGGCAGGCTGAGTTACTATCTACTTGGCCAAACCAGGCTGAACCAGTAGGAACCCACCTCTGCATGGGCAAACAATTGATACAATCTCAAGGTAAACTGCTTCATACTCGATTGCAGAAAATATGACTTCAGCAACAGAGTGGTCAACACATGGAATGCTCTACCTGACTCCATTGTTACAGCTCAAACCCTCACAGCTTTAATCTCAAACTGTGTACTGTGGACCTCACCCCATTCTTAAGAAGTCCATAAAGTGGGTGCCATAAGCGCACCAGCCTGTCTTACTGTCCCTATAGAGTGGCAGATAGTACCAAATTCTTCTTCTTGCTCTTTCTCTATATTTTTTCTTACTCTAAAAAATGGAGCAATACNATCACCTTGGAGCTGAAGGGGAGAACTCTGTATTATGTAAAGGGACTCGCTTGGCCATCTTAATGGCCCATTGACAAAGCAGGATGGGAAGGAAGCTGCAGAAAGCTATTCTCTCTTTAAACCATGTTTCTCCATTTTCACATCCAGGGAAATATTCTGCCTTTTCAATATTTCCTAGGATATTTCATTTTTTTGGGAGAGGGCTGGGTGATAACTTCCTACAAAGCCATGATGTTCTTCTTCTGCCTGGACCTCGTTTGCCTTTAATCTTTCTCTGGAGGATTAAGTGAAGGATGCCATATTTTTCTGGGTGTCGCATCACATGTCCAAAATATTCTGTTTCTATACCATGGATAAAGAGGCCGAGAAATTTCTCCAAGAGACAGAAAGTCTCTTAGAATTTCTTCGTTTCCAAACTATCATCTTTTAGTCCTTTATAGAGCACAAGTAGAAATATACTTTAGGGAACAAAAATAAATGCAGAGAGGATTGAAGAAAAACATCCTGCTAAGAGGTTTGGGCTTCTTTTTTTTTAACACTCATTGTGGTGCTCTTTAGAAGGGCAGTGACGGTAAACTTCATTGTTTTAGCTACCTTCTTATGAAAGGATTATACATTTTGAGATCTGTGTAGAAAATAAAAAGTAGTAAATCATTTTAAAATGTAAACAAACAAAAAGCAGCTGGTGTCCATAAACCTGAATGAGAATGCAGGTACCTGGGAACACAACAACCTCCAGATTTACTTTGCTCATAAATGTGAGTATTTTTTTAATATTATTAATGTTTATTAAATATTTTTATAGAATAAAACCAATTTTGAAGAAGAAAAAGCAAAGCAAAGTCATAGGTAAATAATAAAAAATAGAAGCAACAAAAAAGAAAGAGAAAAAATAAAGGAGCAACATCCCCTCTTTTTTATAGCAGTCATAAATGCATTTATATTTTATATTTTATCTCTAAAATTATATTGTGATTTCATTCTTTCCACATTCTATTATCTCTAATTATCAAACCCATAAATCAGAAGTTTATTTCCCCCCTCCAATTTTCAGCAGGAAGTCTATAAAAGATTTCCAATTACTGACAAATGTAGTCATTGTCTTTTTCCTCTTCAAACAAGTTGATTTTGGTGTCTCTGCAAATTCGGTCATTGTCCTCAACCATTTCTCCATTGTGAGTATTTCAAAGCCTTTCCATATGACATTTCATGATTCTGTCCCATTTTGTCAATAAGAAAATCATAATGTTCCAAATACCCGGAAACTCAAGCTGAAATAAATAATAGTTTATAGAGCTCCTGCATTGCCAAAAGAGAAAATAAAGTGATTTCTGCAACTCCAGAGATCTTGATTTAATGTAAATGTATATCAGATGTATACTCTTTTTGTTGTAATTCATTTCCATGTACGTCTGAAGACAACTGTATAAAGGAACAAAACTATCCTTCCAAACCCCTTTGAACTTGATCTCTGCTGCCAGAACATTGAATAGTCAACTGTCTGCTATTTCTTCGAAGTGGAAAATGGCAGGATTAAGCTTACATTTTGAGAATTCCCTGGGGTTAAAGAAATATATATTTGAGCATTCTAAAAAAAACATGTTTCTCTTTTTCTTTTACAGTTGCAAACATTTTTTCAGACATTTCTGAGGGCTGCTTCTCCTCAGCAGGCTTTGGATGACATGAAAGAGGCAATAAGCAAACTCTTGTTGATAACTGAGGTTTTCAGCGAAGCAGCACTGCCTCAGCCACAAACTACTAGGCAGTAAGTGGATGAATAGACAATTTTCCAAGAAATGTTCCTTGGTTTACCCAGAAGTAATTCCAAGTGAGAGAATGGTTGGGATTGAATGATAAGTCAGCAGAGTAGTTAATAATATCTTATATTATTTATAAAAATGTTCTTTTGCTCTGGAATTTTGCTCAATACCCATGAGATGAAAAGCATGTTTATAAAATAAATAATGAAGAAGATAGATTCTTCTTTTCAACTTGGCTCTGCCTTTTTCCTGGTTCCATCTGAACCAAGTGCTGCCCTCAGCTAAAATCAGAGGTGGGTTTCTACCGGTTAGGCCAAACCAGCAGTGGTTTGCTGGCCTGGGTTGTCAAAGGAACCGGCAGCGACCCAGGCCTGCCGCGCTTCAAAACCGGTTCCCTGGTCGGCGCGGCATGTCCCCCCCCCCCATTTTTTAATGTTCTGCGCATACACAGGCCTATTTATGGGCAACTGAATATGCACACGGGCACCGAACCGGCAATAATGCCAGCAGCAACCCACCCCTACCTAAAATGATTGTGCACATCTATTCTAAAAGAAAGACAAAATGCTAATATAATAAACAAAGTGAGCTTAATATCCAAGGCGGAAAGCACATTCCATAGCTTGACTGGTTTTCCAATCAAATTTTTTTCCTGTAATCAGAGAAGCACATATTGACTTCTTTTTTATATTCTTTGGCTTTCTTACTATCGAGGGTACATCAATTAGAATATGTTATAAAGGTGCAATGTTATTGGAGATCTATTGAAATTGCAAATGAATGCCAGTAGGTGGTTGTGTCTTCTAATATAAATGATTCTAGATAAAAACATGTTTAAACAATGGTAACTAAATGAGAATTATGGTACAGGGATAGTAAAATACATAACTTTTCTTTCTTGACTTAAAACGTACAACCTGATTTGAATGAAACATGTAAGGATTGTGGAAGAAACACACGGAATATATTTGTAACCAATCAATACGCTTTCAACAAGATGTAATGAAAGATGATTTTTTTTGTTTTTTCTGTTTAACTAAAACAATAAAAAAATTCTCAAAATAAAAAAAAGAATAATATCTCTTCCTTGGCCTTTCTGAAAACCACCTTGAACTTATGGAATTTCCATTTCCGTGTAGGATTAAAATCTGTTGATGATCCCAAACATTATTTTGCTTGCATGTGAAATTAAGGATAGTGTATGATAATTTGCAGATAATTCTTATGTTCCATGTTCCTACTTTAATTCTGTCTTTGCCACTTGGGATTTTATTTTGCTGCATGGCAAAATAACATGTAAGTGTTATGAGGACCCAGATGATTGGGGACAATATACTGACTCTGTAAACTGCTTAGAGAGGGATGTAAAGCACTGTGAAGTGGTATATAAGTCTAAGTGCTATTTCTATTGCTAAATACTTGTTGGGCTTTAATCTTTCTGTGTCATGAATATTATTATTATTCCAAATGATGTTTAACATTCCCTTAGTAGCATGCTGAGTGCCAGTCAACCTGAGATGTCCATCATCTGATATTATCAATCTGGTCATGTGGTTTTCTTAATAAGCTACAGGAGTTTTTCAGGGGTGGGTTCCGGCCAGCTTTACTGCCGGTTTGCTCATGTGCATACCCTGCGTGAACATTTACAGTTCAATTAAACTTGTTTTGCGCATGCGCAGAACTTAAAACAAGATGGCAGTGCCAACGGCACCAACCAGAGAACCAGTTCAGGGGTGTGGCAGGCCTGGGTCGCTGCTGGTTCCAGTGACCCATGCCGCCGTACCACTACCAGTTCGTCCAAACCAGGCTGAACTGGTAGGAACCCACCTCTGGAGTTGTTTAAATAATGCCTTGGCCATTGTCCCTAAAAGGATCATTTGAATGCAGTACTTTCTATATCATTGTTGCCCAACCTAAGTGTCTGCTTGCTTTAGGAATGATTTTCAAACTTGGAGTGTCTCAAGTAGGTGTATATACTCTTGGCATGCATACCTGATGTTCTTTGGTCATCTTTCCCAGGAAGATACCCTTCCCCCACCCCCATGCCATGATGAAGCTGATTAGCAGGGTTTGTTTCTGAAACATTCATGATATCTTTTAAATTTGCGTATCAGGTTAATTTTTAAAAATGAAATCAATTTATTTCAGTTCCCTTATTTCAGATGCAGTTCTTGCTTTCAGATGTTAACTTTTGATATTGGATTTGGACACACTTTTTATCCTATTGTTCTTGAGGTAAGCATTCCATATTACAATTGTCATAGGTAAATAACAGGAGATGTGGGTGGCCTGTGTGATTAGGTAAAAGGATTTTTGGAAAGAGAAAGCAAAATGACAATCCTGGGGAAGTGTTTTCTGTTCACATATGTGTTTTCTCCTTCTGTTCTGATAAATGTTTCCTGATGGAACTATGCATTTGTAGATGTTGAGGTCAATAGATTGGTTAAATCTTTGAATCAGTTAATATGTATTCTAGGTACATGAATATTTTGATTTTCAAGCTGATGAAGATTCATTTTCAGAGGACCAAAGTGTTAAAGAAATTCTTCTTAGAGATACATTTCGTATCCTGTTATCAAATCAAACGTCTTCTTCCACTTTCTTTGAAGCTATGCAGAATGTGTATCGATCAGCAAGAATTAAGGTAAGGCTTGAGGTATGGCAACATTCTGCAAACAGAAAAGTTTTTTTCAATATTAAAACTGTGACTGGCTTATAATTGCCAATAGCTTTTGATATTATCAGCCATATTTTCATTCTAAATCACCTAAGAGATTTTAAGTCGCTTAGACAAAATTGGCAAAAAATTGCATGTCAGAATGTGAAGAGGACTAGGGATGCTGCTAGTACTACTCTATTACTAACATTTTCTTTTTGTTATATTAGTTATGCCTATATAAGCACTTTAATGAAAAACTAAATAATTGTACCAATTCCCCTCCAGATATGAATGCTATGATCAATATTTTCTTATCTACCCAAGGTTCTCCTATTATCTATTTACAGGATGACCATCTCAAGGAGAATTCTGATTATTGCCTAACATTAGAAGAATTAAATCCATTGATTAACTTTGTGAAAGGGATTCAAAATCCAGGCGAGTTTGAATTGGTATGTGACATTTGTGGTTTTATTTCGTAATAAATGTTTCTCCCAATGGGAATATTTTTCCACATACATATTTAATGTTTCTTCACCATACCAGGATGAAAGGTATAATTTCCTATTGTTCCTCATTGCTTTTTCTTCCAGCTTTTCCCTTCTGCTGTTCCTAAAATCCATTTTTTGCTGCATGATCTTTATCGTATAGTGAACCCAGGAAAAAAGCTTAACTCCATCCTAGCTCTTCATTGGTTTCTTTCAAGTTTATTTAAACAGTTCCAAGGAATTAGCAATATAGCATCTGCAAACCTTCCAAAAGGGTAAGATGATATTTTGATTAATTCTTTTGTTTACAACTTTGTCACATTATTTTTTGAAAGAGATTGTTAGACAATTATTTTTCTTAATTGTCCTGATATTAATAATTGTTCACAAATTAACACTGATTCAAAATATCCTTAAGATACATGTTTTGACATCATTTTCAATAATCTCAAATATAAGGTACATAACAGAATATGTATCTTAATCTGTAATAAATAAATCATGCTAAACTTTATTTCCCCCAAATCTGTGATGCTATGCATAAATGAGAGAGAAGCGGGGGCGGGGGGGGGGGGAGGCCTACGTTTGAAAAAAATACTAAGAGGAATTAACAAAAAGAAATTCAAATAGACTTTTGTGATGTAGTTCTGTAATTTTTGCAGAAATGCAATCTTTGATAAACCTCCTCCTAACACTTTATACCATTCAGCAAATCTTAACATTATGGCATTAGCCCAACGTCTAAGCGCTTAGAAAACCATATGATCCAGGTTGAATAAATTTGTTTCTGGTTTTATTAATTTGAAACACTTCAAAATAAAATTAACTTTTGAGAAGGAGCCACGTAGCGATGTTACAACATGCAGTCTCAATACTCTGAGACCGCCGTTGACACTTTTGCCGCTGGGGGGGTCCATTGAGACTTAAACCATCCTGTAGAGATGGTGATCAGGAAGACAAAGCCTTGCTGGTCTCAGGGATATCGCAAAATCCCTGATAGACCCAAGGGAAGTGCTTCAAGCCTGCGGTAAACAGGCAGCNATCCCACCACTGGCTAGGGTGGGCGTGGCCAGGGTGGGCATGACTAGTTCAATGTCACTCGTGTTGGGGGCGCCCAAGCTCTCTGCCAGTGAAAACAGGCTCCTAAGCTCTGTTTTCTACTGCGACGGCCTCTTGCAACCCTCTGCCAGCAAAAACAGAGCTCGGGAGGGCCGCCTGTGGTCTTTCCAAGCTCCATTTTCACCGGCAGTCCATGTGGGCCAGTCCTTTGCTGTTTCCAGGGCGGTCCTGGAGGCCAGATCTAACCACCCTGCAGGCGGGATCTGGCCTTGAGTTTGTCATCCCTGGTCTAGAGCTACTGAATTCTGTCCCACCATCATCTCTACCATTTGCAAGTAATCTCATAGGCATCTCAAACTTTACATCCATTTTTCTCATTTTAGCCTCACCATCCAGAGATCCCAAATCAGTGGTGGGTTCCAGGTGGTACGGCCTGGTACAGCTGTACCTGGAGTAGCTGGGAAAAGCAGCCCACCATACCAGTATGGTGGCTCGTTTGGCCCACCTGCCCGCCCATGTTCTATGACCATTTAATAACATGACCAGCCCATTGCGCACATGCGCACAGCATGTAGCGCCTGCGATTAATCTCTGCCGGGCAGCTGGGTGTCGCAGGGCAATGGCATGTGCATGCACACACAGTGCACGGGCCCCTCTAGGATACCTAGCTGCGCTGAGGTCCGGAACCCATCACTGTCCCAAATGTGTTTTTATGGCATTAAATGTGAAAGGAACACCTTCCACTCATTTTATCTATTCCCAGGTGATCTGGAAACTGAGCACTTAAACCACCAGTCACCTGAAGCTTCCAGTTGCCCCAATAGTCTTGAGTTCACTCTTCAGCAACCATAGTCCTGTCTTCCTTCTTGAAAACTGAAGCAAACCAAAAGCAAAAAATCTTTGCTTTTAACCACAGTGTTTTTCCAGCAAGCTTTCTGGAGAGCATTAAATCACACACATACATGGAAAGAACATTAGCTTAAATAGGGAAGCTATCCAGGAAAAACAGATTTACCGACAGAGGATGAATTACTGTCATCTGTTCTGAAGGAGCAAAAAGGACAATGAACTAAATTTAGACATATAATAGGGGGGGGGGTGGTATTTAAAATTTTTCTGCACTTTAGCACAGGCTGCTATGAGCAATGGTGAGCACTATGATTATTTAGCAAAAGAGGTGCAGTAATATCACTGGGTAGTAGGGCATTCGGTTTTTCCATAAAAAGGAATTCATCAAGGGGAATTTAAGCCTAGTGGTACAGTTTCGCTGACAAGTACTGGCATGTGGAGATATCATGGTTTTTCTCCAGATTGTTTTTTGGGCTGGCCAATCTAGCCTATAGTTCTAGCACCTCTTGCTAACTTCCCAGCCAAGTAATAGCCAAGTAATAGCCAAGTTCAGCTATACATATTTTCTAGTACTAATTTCCATATGTAGCTCAGAGAAGGTTAACAAAAAATAAACATTTCTGGTTTACTCCCCATGTTCATCCCAACACAGCAGAAGAAATAATAGATTTCAGACTTTCTCCACTAGCAGCACAGCAGAAAAAGTTCTTTTTCTTCAGTTGGCCTGAAAGAAACCAGGCCCAGGAAGGCAAAGCTGAAAATACTTCAAATTTTCCACAGAATAATCATGTTGTAGGAAAGAGTTTGTTGACTTGTTCATCCTGCTCAGATTTACGGATGTTTGAAGTGGTTTTTATATTGAACTTTTCAACAAATCAACCTAGCTTCTTCTTCTAAAATTAATATGCAGATCAGAAATTCACCTTGCCAGACCTTTTCTTCTTTTTATAGGTTCTATCATTGCTTTATTATTTATCTTTGCAATATTTTAACTGTTTTTAGTTTGAATAATGGAGATCCAGTGTGGTCTAGTGGTTAGGGCACTAGGCTGGAAACAGAGACTATAAATTCTTGTCCCACTTTAGCCACGAGGCCAACTGGTGATCTTGGACCAGTTCTTCTCTCTTATCCCTAGGAAGAATCGAATATATCTTTATTATGGTCATAGACGAGCAATAGACATCAATTTTTACAATATATTTAAAAATAATAATAGTACTGATATTAATAGTGGATAATAACATCCCTGTTAAGAAAATACATGTTCTCAAACTGTTAGGGTCACTCCCTAGTTTATGTGGGTAAAAAGCCAATGAGTATGTGAGTAAATATAATATTCCAAAAATTGTTACAGATATCTCCAAAAAATTGGTAGAAATTGACAGCTATAATTCTGTCACCAATTTTTTTTCTTATGGATATTGCAGCAAGACGGAATTTTGCCACTGCATGCGTGATAGACAGGTTTGTGTCCTGGAGGACTCCCTGGCAATCTCTCTAATAAGGGGAGAATATGTGCACATCTACAAACTCTGTATAGCTCACAGCGTAATAGAACATGTGAGATATCTTCCACTTCTCCTTTACCACATACATAAACCCGTTCTGCTATTGGTGTTCTCTTATACCTGCCCTGGAGGAGTGCTGTCCCTACTGTGGAGAGGCAACCTATTTAGTTCTTCTTGGAACTCCATGTCCTTCATTCTATTGATTGCTACTTGCTTTGCTTGGTCAAAACCTAGGGACATTAAGAATGCCAGTGAGAGCCCATAAGAGGATCTATCACCTGTTTTCAGAGGGAGGGGAAGTTGTCAATCAACACTAGTACTTATCTCTAGAAGGAAGCAGTGGCAAACTACTTTCAAAATCTTCCCAAGTAATGCAGAAATTAGTGCAGGCAGTCACCAGGAATCAACGCTGACTCAAAGTCACATTTTCTTTTAAAGTTTGACTATTACAGTACAGTCACTTAATTCTATGTCCAGTAGATGGAGGTAATGTGTTAGAGAAACTATATTCAGTCAAGTGATAAATTGTGATCCCCCCCTCCTTATTATGATTTCTTTTTAACCAATAAATGGATAACTAGGTAATCAATGAAAGAAAACTCTCCTGTTTGCTTATTATTTTCCATATATTGTTATAGCTTTTATCATCATATTAGTTTTCTTGATGTAGAGGGAGAACACAAACTATTCCTTAAAAGAAAGGATAAACAATAATTAGCAAGTCACAAACATGGTCATTTTTTTTGCACAGCTGTCATTTATTTAGTCTTCCTAAGAAAGAAACTCTTCTTTCCCTTTTCTTTTCAATTCTGTTCTCTCATCTCAAAGTTCTATGCTATCTGATTCTATCTTCTTCTTCTTGTGCCATATCCACCATCAGACTTTGGTGATCATTTTGGCAATCCTATTTTTGTCAATAGCCACATGAAAAAGTGCTGCTGAGTTTTGTCCAAACTAGTCCTTTGGGTTTTGAAACTGATGAAAGAAATGTCCTTCAGGGTTCAGTTCCAAGTGGAGAAAAAGACACTGGAGACATGGAGGCTGCTTGGAAAGACAGTTTAATGGTGGACAGGACTACATGGCTTGAGTCCTGAACAGAAAAGGTGATCACATGCTTCAATGTTGGTGGAGAAGGAAAGGCCGAGATGCTGAGTCCCTGGTTTTATGCCCTCTCTGGCCTTTGATCTTGAGCTTGTATTCTGATTGGTTGTCAGACTTCCATGGGGCCATGGAGGGGTATCTCTCTAGGCTGTGTTTTGAATCCAGGTTTGGTTGAGTTCTCAGATGCCATGTGGTGAGTTGGGTAAAGGGCCAATATTATCATGCCTTAATCCCTTCCCCCTGGAGCTGAAGTGGAGAAGTATTTATTATGTAAAGGGACTAACTTGGCTATCTTAATGGCTCATTGACAAAGGGGGATGGACAGGAAGCTGCAGGGAGCTACTC